CAATTTTTTTTCAATGGATAAGTTTTTAGTGTATGATGTTGCTTTTTTTTTGCAAGATATTGTCGGCTAATCTCTAGAGCAAAATCTTTTGTACCAACTTTTCGATCACTTTTGTTACATATATTATATAACACTGTAGCGTTAGTTATAGACGACTGTATCAAGCGTTCGAAAACGACCCATGTCCATTTTTTAGATCTTATGATCGGAAGAAGCTTATTGCAGTGCTGATCGTGTATATCTACACCCCCCATGAATTTATTATAGTAAGTGAAAGCATTTGGATACTGTAAATCGGTCTTCTTCTTTTCAATTCTGTCGTAACGTTTGACACTTGATAACGGAGTAACACCCGCAGCAGTAGAAAGAATTGATACAGGTTTTGAATCAACTACTGTAATAAAATTCATGTTACTGCCTTTTTCATGCTTCGCAACATATGTTCCTCTTGCAGCCTTTTTATCTATTTCATTTTTTTCTGGAACCCGGTCAACTCTCACTGTACCAGTTGCCTTGAGACCAATTTTTTTCATGTGAACTAACAAATCTGGACCTGTGAAGAGATTATCAAAATATATATGATATTGATATAATTTTCTTGGCGTAGTACTCATCAGTAATTGTTGTAACATTTGAAGAACAACTATACTTCCCTGAGCACACGTAGATAAAAAGTCGGATGTCTTAGACTTCTTTCCGCAGTATATATCAAAATCAAGTAAGTAACCGTCAGCACTGCACAAGGCCCACATCTTTATTCCAAATCTAATGGGCTTAGATTTTATAAACTGTTTGAGAGAATTCCTCCCATAATATTTCACCATCATTTCATCAATAGAGAGGGCTGTCGAGAAAAAACCAAATTGCCTGATGTTTTTTCGAAAAATATCTACCATTTTTCTGACCCGCCACACTTTGTCATCATCGTTTTGATCTTCAGGAACCGAATATTTTATAGACGACTTTATTTTTTCAAATTTATGTCGAGACATTGCTGATATTATCACTTCCGATTTCAATAAGGGATCAGTAGACCAATAGTCTCTTTGAGATGACCTTTTATTAAAGATAGTGAATACTATTATTCCAATAAAAGTATCTAGTTCATCCCGAGAAAGAGAATACCCGTTAGCTTGAGTGCACGATATAATGTGGTTTTTCAATTCTGTTGAAAAAAATAACTCAAATAATTCTATAAACGATCGATATGTTATTCCAGCTTTATCTTTGTCAGACAACAATATTTCATTGGTCAAACTTTCATTCAAAGGGTATTCCCCTTGTTCCCATTTGTACTCATAATTCATCTCTAACTTTTTCTATGTTGCAGAATAGTTACTCAATACTTTCTCGTAAGACTCGTATTGAAGAAAAGACTCATCTTCCAAATCACTGTTATTCGCCTCAGAAAGGTCATCATCGAATTCGTCACATTCGTCAGATTCATCAGAATCTGATTCCCCAGAACCATCAGCATCTGGGATAAAAATAGCATCAACAAAATTTTCTTTTTCAACAGCTTCTATTCTTTGTTTCTTAGCGCGTGTTACCATTGTCGAATAAACATTGGATTTTTCTGCAGAATCAGATTCAAAAGGAAGATCACTTGATTTCCTTTTTGGCATATTTTACAGATATTCAAATGAAATTGTAATTGAAGAAGTATACTTATACACTGAAATCAGCTATCCACAAGTTTTTCTAAACGTGTGTCCTATCGGAGTTGATTTTCGTACGGTGATATGGCCATGCAGAATCTAGTAATACAACTGCGTACTCTGGAGTACTCTAAGACTATGTAGAATATTCTTTCAACGATTATTTCATTGACTGAAAATTGATTTTTTTGCTCGAAAAATATAATATTTACAAAAAATTTTTCAGGAACAAAAATGTCTTAAAATTGATCGGAGAATATCCTAGAATTATTTCACAATTTTTCGATACAATTTTTAAATTTTCAATTTCGTAACTATTCGAAAATTCAAAAATTTTTCCGAATCATTCTGAAAAAATTTGAGGATATTCCTTGATCAATTCTAAGATTTTGTTTTTAGAAAATTTCTACAAAAATGCTTGGTTTTCGAGTAAAAAAATTATGAAATTGAAAAAAAAATTTTTTCATACTGGACGCCATTTTGTTTACCCAAGCAATTGTCATGTTCGGGTAACCTTACTAATATTTACTTCAGACATCTAGGCCGCGATCTGAAGGGGTTTGGAGCATATAAAAACATGTTAAGCGATTGAAAATTCGATTAAAAAAAAAATTTAGCCGAAAAATTCAGCTTTTTTTATTTATTTTCGATCTTTTTATGGTAAAGCTTCCTTGGCGGGACTTTTAACCTACACCATTCGAAAGATCACCCTTAAAAACATAAGGAACAGTGGTTCCCGAAATTTTGGCTTTCAAATTCGTTACGTGATACTAATTTGAATTCAGCTTTCGAAAAACCGTCCTGTGAGCGTTAATGGGTTAAATGCAGTTCATGGCGTATCTGCCTTTATGTTTGCAACTGTTTACAATTGAGTAAATGAATTTATACGTGGCCGTACATTTACTGCAGATGAACATCCTTCAGGTCGTCCTGTAGACGTGAGCAATCCAGAAATGATCAATATAATCCACGACATGGTGTTGAGTGATCGAAGAATGAAATTACGCAAAATATTTGAAGCCACAGGGGTTTCAAAAGGTAGTCATTTTGATTTTGCATGAGAAATTGAACATGAGAAAAATTTTGGCAAGATGGGTGCCGCATTCGCTCTCAGTCGAGAACAGACACAGTCGAGTGGTGGACGTTGATGCCTTCTTAGCGCGCATCCACCGTAATCTAGACGACTTTCTGCGTCGATTTTTAACTGTAGACAAAACGTGGATAGGAGGTCTGTCCGGAAAGAATCGGGCCTACGTGTTCGAGTGACCTCCGGAAAGAATCTTCGCGCCATAGTGTTCGAGCGACCTCTACCGGACAGAAACGTCAACAGTAAAGCCTTACGAATCTATTGATTACTTACTGACACTTGCCGGGCGTATAGTTCATGCACACCGTGTCTTTGTTTACAGTGCCTTTTTCGCGTTCATTGGATTTTGATATTGTCAAAAATGACTGAAAAACAAGATCAACGAATTTGCATCAAATGTTGCTTTCAACTCGGAAAAACGAGTTCGGAAACTATTGAAATGATGCAAAAGGCCTTCAGAAGCGAGTGTATGAGCAAAACACGAATAAAAGAGTGGTATAAACGGTTCAAGGATGGTCGCACTTCTGTCGATAGTGATTCTCGTTCAGGCCGACTTTCGACGACAAAAACCGCAGATAATATTGAGCGGGTGCGACTTGCAATCGAACAAGATCGTCGTATGGCTGTGCGAGAACTAGAAGAAGACCTTGGGATATCAAAAACTATCATTTCAGAAATTTTAACCGAAAATTTAGGAATGAAATGCGTGTGTGCGAAATTCATCCCAAAATTGCTCACAGCAGAGCAGAAGAACATTCGCTTAGAAATCGCTCTCGACAATCTGGAAATGGTCAATAATGATGATAATGTGCTTAGAAAAGTTATTACAGGTGATGAATCATGGGTTGATGGTTATGATCCTGAAACAAAACAACAATCTTCACAGTGGAAGCATTCTGAATCGCCAAGATCAAAAAAAAGCACGTCAAAGTCGGAGCAATGTTAAGTCAATGTTGATTGTTTTTTTCGATTGTGAAGGAGTTGTACATCACGAATATGCACCAACAAGTCAGACAATCAATAAAGAATACTACGTTCCACTCGAAGGACACCGATTCGATGACAAAACACTGGTTGAAAACAATGCGACGAGTGTACTTACGGCTATTCCTAAAAGTGAGTTCCAGGACTGTTTTGAAAAGTGGAAACATCGATGGAACCGTGTTATTCAATCAAGTGGGGATTACTTTGAAGGATGCCACCCACCAGATGATAAAGAATAACGCTAGCACGAAAATATAAAGGTAGGCCTGATACTTTCTGGACAGACCTCGTAAACCACTACACTCTTGAGACGAAGGAATAGTCAAAACAGTGGATTGTGAATAGTGAATCAGCTCCGAAGAAAGCGAAGACAGTGAAATTGGCCAGCAATGTTATGGCCACTGTTTTTTGGGATGAACATGGAATTATCTTCGTCGACTATTTAGAAAAAGGACAAATAATCACCAGAAAGTATTATGCGTCGTTATTGGACCGGTTAAGCGAGAAAATAAAGGAAAAACGGCCTCATTTGAACAAAAAAGAAATTGTTTCATAAAAACAATGCACACTTGCTTAGTTTCAATGGCTAAAATTAAGGAATTGAAGTACGAATTAGTAGATTATCTACCGTATTCACCAGATTTGGCCCCTAATGACTTTTTTTTATTCCCAAACCTAAAAAATACTTGCTGGACAACGATTCTTCTCGAACAAGGAGGTTATAACAGAAACAAATAGCTATTTTGAGGAACTTCTAAAATTATTTTTTTCTGATGGCTTAAAAAAACTTGAAGGACACCTGGAAAAGTGTATCGAGCTAAAAGGAGATTATATTGAAAAATAAAAAAAAATCTACCAAAAAAGAAATTATTTTTCTATCTTTTTCTAAGGATTTATTGACCCACCCCCCACCCCTGTATTATCTGCAAAGCTCATGCCTACCAATACGGGTTGTAAATCTGCTAAATTCGCGTCCGCAAAGTTATTGTTGGTAATATAACGACTCAGTCGAACTGTAGAGCACTTCAATATACACTTTCAAAAGTGGCAAACATGAAAAGTCTCATATTGTTTTAATCCTTTTTTTTGCGAACCAACTGTTTTTGAATTTCTAGCTGAGTCATTATGTAAAATCTGATAATTTTGTAAACTGTATACATAATTTTTAAATTAATTTACTTAATAGAAAAATAAATATTATTTATATATAAATTGTTGTTATGATTCATCTACGGTTTATTAATTCCTACTATTACTTTATTTCTTTTTAGGTATTTACAGATACGGATGGAATTTATTCCTATACTTATGAAGCAGAAAAAAATGATCATTGTATTTCCTGCAGTCAAATAATACGGCAGATCAAAATTAAAAATCTAGATATCAAGTTGAAAGATTTAATTGATATATTATGTTCCCAAAAAGAGATACGATTAAAAAATCCAGCCATTACAACTATGATTGCCGGCAAAACAAAAACTTTATACATTCCAGGTATTCCAAGCATCGAAGAAAAAACTAAAAAGAATTTAACAAAAACATTATCCGAACTTGGTTTAGAAGTAAATTCAGAAATAATTATAGCAGATATAACAACACCTAATGCGATCACTTTCCAAATAAATGTATTGGAGCATTGAAGCCAATTCTATTGTTACAAATATTTGAAGTAGAGTGAACAATAATTATTATTTAAATTGAAACTACATTCAAAAATAAAAATAATATAAATAGTATAATCACATAGTCACTCTAATATTCATATTTTATGTACTTTGAAAATTTATAATAAATCACTATAGTATTTACGACAAGTAATTATTTATCCACCCCGAACGTAAGCGGCATTTTGCTTTCAAGTCGAGTTTTCTATATCAATATGAGTCGTTGTGAAAATACAAACATTTTATTCCCAGAGTTGTAACATACGAGGTTTGTCAAAAAAAATTTTTCTTTTGTTAGTTTGTAATCTGGTTTGCTGCCATATTTTTCTTAGTTTTTTTCTAATTTTATTAGATACTGTTTTAAAAATAGTGAAATTTACTTTTTGGTTTATTGAGTATATAAGAGTTGTATTTTCAATGACTTTATAAATGTTATTATTTAGGTTTTCAATTACAATATCGATATTTTGCTTTTTTTTTAATGATATATACCATTAAAAATCCTATTTAATTTTTTTAATACATAGGAGGTCATTACTTCAAAGTTTGTTTTAATTGCTGAGTTTCAGTAAATAATAATTGAGAGATTATCTGAAGTTGAATCAAGGCTGTTAGGTGTTTAAGACATAATCCTTTAATGATTGCGAAATCTAATAGGATCAGTAGTTTATTTATATCAGAGAGCTAGATAGTATGTCTACTTGTTGATATTGATATTGTTTTCTGTTTGCATGACTAATTGTAAGTGACAAGGCTACAGCGAGTTCGCTGGCTTTGTGCGCGGCATTCTCCTTGCGCAAACACAGCGATCGAGCATGAATTGTGAGGTGTACATGCTTGTGTCGTTGTAGGGCTAGGAAAAGGGAGAGTTGTAGCTGGTGGAACAACGCCGTAAACGAGAGAGAGAGAAAGAGAACTAACTACCTAGGTTTTGGTTTGAGAAGAGTGGGAAAGGAGCGGAACGCGCGGCGACCAAGAACCTGAGGAGCAACGAGGTGATTTGATTGCAGAGAGGCGCGAGTCGAGTATTAAAAAGGCTTCTTATTTACAAAGAGGATAAGCTCATCAGTACTAATAACAACGAGGTTGACCATCAATCGCCAACAGCGCTACAATGTCGACGACTGATCTATTGTCCATCCCCGGGATACTTACAAGGAAGAGATACTTGCCCAACGACTCCGATTTTTCTGAAACTTGACAGAGGGGTAGAATTTTTTAAAATATTTGACACCTATTTTTTTTATGTGTGGAATTCATATTTAAAGGGTGAAAACCCCTCTTAAAGTTCACCCCCTAATCCCGCTTTTAATCAATGTCTCAAGGTTGAATCAACATTTCTTACGAAATCTAACGCCTACTTATTTCTTTTAAAAAGACAAGTATTTGGATAAAGTTTAGTAGCCCGAACGCTCATATGTAAGTATGTCTAGGGGGAAAATCACCCTTAAAACTCACCCCCGAAATACATTTTTTTAATATCTCGAGATTTCATCAGATTATTCAGGATAAAATCTATGCCTGTTTTTTTCTTATAAAAAAATGAGTATTTAAACAGAAATTAGTGATACAAATATGTTCAAGGGGTGAGAACCACCCTTAACACCCCAAAAACCAATTTTTTTAATATTTCGAGATTGGATCGGAATTTTTTGATAAAATCCACGCCAGTTTACTTCTTATAAAATAGTAAATATTCAAAAATAGTTTATGGACTCAAATATGTCCAGGGGGTGAGAATTGCCCTCAAATATATTGTTCTCAAATATATTCACTCATGTAAAAATTAGTTATTTTCCCATGAAAAAATTAGAATATATTTTAGAACCTAATTATTACATGTTCAATGATATCGCAACACAAAAAAATGTTTGTCCTTAATGATATCTATGTAGATAGTGATAAGCTAAAAAAACATTGTCAAGCTAATACGAAATATTTATGAAGTAAACAAGAAATATTTTTGATTGAGTATAATCTGTTTTCGGTGATTCTGTATATTGGTCTGAACGAAACGTGGAAATAAATAAAGAAATTTAATAAAAATATTAAATAACAAGCTTAATTTTTAAAAATACAGTGAAAATAGAAGCATTGTTAATAAGTAAGTAAAATAATAATTTTAACAATATAAAATATCCCCTTATAAAATAGTGATGGAAGCCATATTGAAGCATTTTATTCGTGACCTGATTGGCCCAAATGAAAAAAACCGCGGGAATTTAAATTGTTTTTAGTTGATTTTTTATTTCAGATTTAATTTAATTTGTTTTTAGCAAAAAAATAAAATATAAAAAATATAATCTTTCATTCATCATTTATAATCACAATGTAGTTCATTGTTTATCAGTCTTATCCCGTATAAAAAAGTGATGGATGCCACGTTGAAGCATATAGTGATCTGATGGCTGAGATATAATTGCGTGATATACTTAAGTGGCGGAAAATAAGCATATAGGTGTGGTTTTGAGTTGAGATTTTACTAATAAAAATTCAAATCATCATAATTTATCATACGGATAATTTTGAAGATAAGGAAGTAAAAAAGTAGACTGTAATATTATTTATACACACATAATATGAAATTAACAATTAAGAAATCGTTTCATACAAATAATATAGGTTGAAATTGCTCTAAATATTTTCTATTAATAATCGAAAATTTGGTTTTTGAATGTGTAAAATAAAAGTTGTAATGTTGCAATCTTTATTCAAAAAGTAGAATAAAAGTTTAATAATAAATTAACCGGTTGAGAAAAAAATATTATAAGATGCAACGATTACCGAAAATCGTTCGACTCGCGTAGGTTAATAAGCGGCTGAGCGGAATAGCGGCGATCGGTACGAGAGAGAGAGAGGGCGCGTAGGGGCAATGTCCGGGAGGGGAGAGCTCGGTAGCCAGTATGACTGTGTTACTCAGTCCGGTGAGATCGTCTCTACGTTTTGTGCGCCAAAGAACTGGACATTGTTTATCGCCAAGTGAGATCCAGGGAGCAAGGGTTAGTGGAAGTGAGTGGAGTGCGGAGTGTGCGTGCGCAGCCACAGCAGCAACAACCACAGCAGCAACAACCACAGCAACAACAACCTCAGCAGCAACACCAACAGCAACAGCAATAACAGCGGCAGTGCAGCGAGCAGGGGAGCAGCGAATCTGCGACTCGCGTATCGGATACGGTTGGCCACCGTATCCTCAACTATCTCGCGGTAGGTGCACCATTTCCGATTTTGTTGTTGTCGTGCGATTCCGCGCAGCGTGCGCGAAGAAATAATTTATAGCGTGCGGGTGGTTAGTTCGCGTCGATCGCGATTTTCTCTCTCTCTCTCACCTAGCGTATTGTCAATTGTATTTGCGTGCGCAAGACTCTCGGCGAATCCCCCGTGTATTAAATTCACTCGAATAAAGCGTTTAACTGAGATTCTTAATCGAGTCATTGTTTAGTCTATCCCTTGTCCGGAGGTCGCGTTTGTTTACATTCGGTTCGAATTAGCCGGTAGTCTGGCACGGACCGCGTGGAGATAGCTAGAGGCGCATTGCAAGTCAAGTTTCAAGCAGCGGCCACAGGAGCGCTGCTAGGCAAGAGCGATAGCGCCGCCAAGTGGCGAGTTGGGGAACCCAACTCGGATTGGCGAGGAGACTCTGCGCAGGCGCACTCACGGACAAGGTAGGTTGATGTGCTTCGAGCACATAGATAACTAGGCGTCGTTTAGCCATCAAATAGGTACATTCTAGGGAAATTATAGGTTAAACGGCAGCCTGTTACATGGCGCCCAACAAATATTAGGACTCACACACAAGGGGAGTCAATTTGCACAAAAAGAGAGAGAGACAGTTGCGCGCGTGCGTATTAAGGTGCGAGCGGGTAAAATAACGCATCGCTCGTTCGGCACGTACTCTGCGGTAGGGAAAAGACGCCTCTCCGACCCAATAACACCTGCTTTTGTAAGCCGAGAGCACACTAACCTCAATTGGGGTGTGTGTAGGGTTAGATTTACTAACCCGGTGGAGCTAGCAAACAGTTAATCTCCACCTATAGGCAGGTAGTTGCGATTGGAAGTTCGTACTTCCTTAGGGTACGCGGCACCTGCACACACCCACGAGCCCCGTGGATTGTTGCCTTGTGAGTTAAGGCGTAGAGGAATAGTTGCCGTAAAAATCGCAACACCCCGCTCGCGCCTTAGGCGATAGGAGGCGGTAGTGGTCGACTAGGTAAATTAACCTCAACCGTCAACTACGCCCCAGCATAAGCGATATGGAGGATACCGCCGACGCGATAACCCGGTGGGCATCGGAGCTGCCTTCGACACAGCTGGATAGATACCTGACGCAACTGGAGTTGCGTACAGACGGTCCCAAGCTGATGCAGGCAGTTCGACTAGCGTATTGGTTGTTAGGCGAATATATCGACCTGGACTTCCAAGGAGCGGCGTTGGATAGGGAGGCGGCGCAACGAAGACGAAGAAGCCGAGAGAGGTGGCTCGAGATCAGGCGACAAGAAATAGAGGCAGCTGATGCCGAAGACCTTGTCGCCCACCCGCTCATGCTGCTAGAGAGGGACGAAGCAGTAGAGGCGAACTTGACGCGGACCCTCGCGGTCTTCGACAACATTGAGGAAGACAGTCGGAGCGAAAGGGGGGAGCGAGAGCCCGTCGAGGAAGGGAGGATCGGCGTGGATAGAGGGCCTTCGGAAGGGGTTAGTAGTGAGCGCCAGGGCTCCACTGGATTGCCAGATAGGCGAAGAGCTCGACGCTTCGAAAATGAGGAGCTACAGCCTCAAGAAGAAGAAGAGGAACGGTGCGTGACAGAGCGATTAAAAGAAGAAATCGAGCGCAACCGTGTCGGGATCAACCGCATACTCGAGATGCTGGAAAGGCACGACCAGGTATGCGCGCGGTGGAGCGACCAGGTGACCACCCTGCAGGTGGAAGTCCAGCAGCTGAGGAGCAGGGACCCCACCAATCGACGAACGGTCATACCCGAGCGGCCCAGGAGAACCGTGGACTTCCAGTCCACGTATACGTGCCACTACGACCCAGGGGTGCCAGGAAGTACCCCGGAAGCCCAGAGGTCGACCCCTGGCGAACCTCGGGAGGCTCCCCAAAGGCAGGCGCCTTTACGG